AAATTGGGCAAGCCAAGGTTCAAGGAGAAATTTGATCCGGTTTTCATTTAAAAGCAAATTTATCTAATTTGCACTTTGCTGAGTTGGTTAGAGTGCAAGGTTGCAAGTTCGAAGGGGACAGCTGCATATTCCTGCATTGTAGGGGGTTGGGCTAGATCAGGCCCAGGGGCCTAATCCGGCCCGCCGGTTGGTTTAATGTGGCCCCTGCAACTTCAATCCTAAAAATAGGTCAACAACTTTGGTTGGCCCTCACACATATTCACTTCATCAAATCTGGCCCTCTTTGAAAAATGTTTGGACACACCTGGACCACATGGGATGGGAAGAGATGTTCAGGGTCCCTTTCAACACGATTCTATGATTCTATGAGAACTGAAGCACAGCCGTCTTTTGAAATACACACTTCTCCACATTTTGCAGTGCCTTTCTCCAGCCAAGTAATGTGTATAAAAATGCACTGACCTGGACAGGAAGATGCATATATTGGTGAGCATACAAAATAATAATAATAATAATAATAATAATAATAATAATAATAATAATATACCTTGCCCATCTGGCTGGGCTTCCCCAGCCACTCTGGGCAGCTTCCAACAAAATATTAAAATATAGTAATGCATCAAACATTAAAAACTTCCCTGAACAGGGCTGCCTTCAGATGTCTTCTAAAAGTCTGGTAGTTGTTTTTCTCTTTGACATCTGGTGGGAGGGCGTTGCACAGGGCGGGTGCCACTACTGAGAAGGCCCTTTGCCTGGTTCCCTGTAACTTGGCTTCTCGCAGTGAGGGAACCACCAGAAGGCCCTTGGCGCTGGACTTCTGTGTCTGGGCAGAACACAGGTATACTGGACCGAGGCCGTTTAGGGCTTTAGAGATCAGCACCAACACTTTGAATTGTGCTCGGAAATGAATCGTATTAGGAAAATTGCTTTGCAACCATGACTGAAACTGCCTTGGTCGCACTGGTTGATGATCTCCGGCGGGCTAGGGACAAAGGTGAGAGCTGTTTCCTAGTTCTGCTGGATCTCTCAGCGGCGTTTGATACCATCGACCATAACATCCTTCTGGACCGTCTTGAGGGGCTGGGAGCTGGGGGCACTGTTATACAGTGGTTCCGCTCCTTCCTCCTGGGCCGTGTTCAGAAAGTGGTGGTGGGGAATGAGTGTTCAGACCCCTGGGCCCTCACTTGTGGGGTACCTCAAGGTTCTGTCCTCTCCCCCATGCTTTTCAACATTTACATGCAGCCGCTGGGAGAGATCATCAGGAGGTTTGGGCTGGGTGTTCATCAGTATGCAGATGATACCCAGCTCTATCTCTCCTTCAAATCAGAACCAGTGAAGGCAGTGAAGGTCCTGTGTGAGTGCCTGGAGGCGGTTGGAGGTTGGATGGCGGCTAACAGATTGAGGTTGAATCCTGACAAGACAGAAGTACTGTTTTTGGGGGACAGGAGGCGGGCAGGTGTGGAGGATTCCCTGGTCCTGAATGGGGTAACTGTGCCCCTGAAGGACCAGGTGCGCAGCCTGGGAGTCATTTTGGACTCACAGCTGTCCATGGAGGCACAGGTCAAATCTGTGTCCAGGGCAGCTGTTTACCAACTCCATCTGGTACGCAGGCTGAGACCCTATCTGCCTGCGGACTGCCTCACCAGAGTGGTGCATGCTCTGGTTATCTCCCGCTTGGATTACTGCAATGCGCTCTACGTGGGGCTACCTTTGAAGGTGACCCGGAAACTACAACTGATCCAGAACGCGGCAGCTAGACTGGTGACTGGGAGCGGCCGCAGAGACCACATAACACCGGTCTTGAAAGACCTACATTGGCTCCCAGTACGTTTCCGAGCACAATTCAAAGTGTTGGTGCTGACCTTTAAAGCCCTAAACGGCCTTGGTCCAGTATATCTGAAGGAGCGTCTCCACCCCCATCGTTCTACCCGGACACTGAGGTCCAGCACTGAGGGCCTTCTGGCGGTTCCCTCACTGCGAGAGCCAAGTTACAGGGAACCAGGCAGAGGGCCTTCTCGGTAGTGGCCCCTTCCCTGTGGAACACCCTCCCACCAGATGTCAAAGAGAACAACAACTACCAGGCTTTTAGAAGACATCTGAAGGCAGCCCTGTTTCGGGAAGCTTTTAATGTTTGATGTATTATAGTATTTTAATATTCTTTTGGAAGCCGCCCAGAGTGGCCGGGGAAGCCCAGCCAGATGGGCGGGGTATAAATAATAAATTATTATTATTATTATGTGTAGACGAGGGAAAATTGCATACAGAAACATTAGGAGGTATTCACACAAAAAGGCTAATGAGTTTTCACAAGGACTTTTAATTACAGTGGTACCTCGGGTTAAGTACTTAATTTGTTCCGGAGGTCTGTTCTTAACCTGAAACTGTTCTTAACCTGAAGCACCACTTTAGCTAATGGGGCCTCCTGCTGCTGCCGCATGATTTCTGTTCTCATCCTGAAGCAAAGTTCTTAACCCGAGGTACTATTTCTGGGTTAGCAGAGTCTGTAACCTGAAGCATCTGTAACCCGAGGTACCACTGTATTATTATTTTTAAACAATTTTGGGGAGCAAATCCATGTTTGGCTTGCGACAAGCACACAGAGAGAAACTGTACCATAATCCTCCCTGCCTCCCTGAATGAATCCTGTTGTTTCCGTGGTTGGAGGGGGGGGGACGGGGACAGTAGGCCAACAGATTAAGGCTGCATTCTGTGGTCCTCATGGCGCAGCAGGATTCGGGGTGCTCGCATCAATCCTATCAATTCCTGGCATCGTTTTGCCCTTACTCCTGGTAATTAATCTTTTCATGAATCGCTCTCACATTTGCAGCCATTTCATTAAGTTCCTCTCCATTTTATGTAACCACTTGCTGCATCTCACATCTGCTCCAACGAGGGGGAAAGGTCACACCAAGGGGATGGCCTCAGCCCCTCCCTCCCCGCAACCCCCCCCCCGTTTTTCTCATTGCCGGACACAGATACAGATAAACATGCTTACGTAACTTCTGCCTGCATGTCAGGAGAGCTACAGCTTCCAAAGCTGTAGGTGGGGTGGGGGTTAGAAATCCTGAATCAGTTTCTGTACATATCCAGGATAATTCCTGTGAATGATTCCTGATGCAATCATTGTTTTCACCCTGTCTTCTGTAGAAGGGACACCGTTCATTCATTATTATTATTATTTTTTTAAATAGAAAATCCAGATTACGTGGCTGCCAAACTGTTCCATCCCAGTGGTTCCCATTTTGTCCTTTCCCCCCCCCCCCCGGAACTCTCTGTGGCTTTTAAAATATATATATATACCGTATTTTTTGCTCTATAAGATTCACTTTTTCCCTCCTAAAAAGTAAGGGGAAATGTGTGTGTGTCTTATGGGGCGAATGCAGGCTGCGCAGCTATCCCAGAAGCCAGAACAGCAAGAGGGATTGCTGCTTTCACTGCGCGGTGATCCCTCTTGCTGTTCTGGCATCTGAGATTCAGAATATTTTTTTTTCTTGTTTTCCTCCTCCAAAAACTAGGTGCGTCTTGTGGTCTGGTGCGTCTTATAGAGTGAAAAATACGGTGTATACACACACACACACACACAGCCTTACAGTGCAATTGCAGCACCAGCTATTGAGGCTTCCCAGGGCTGCTGTCCCTTTCATTTCCCTCCTTATCCTTTTCTTTTGAAATCTGCTTCTCAACTTCTGCTCCTTTAATTAGTGGCTTCCTGTTCACTCATGCGGCCAAGGCTTTGGTGAGGCTGGTTCCAGACGGGCAGATTTTATCACAGCCCACTCCGCGTTTTCCTCGCCATAGAGCTTTTCCACAGGTGCACCTTCCTATTTCCCACCATGCCGCTTTCTGCTCACCTTGAACGAGGAAAAGAAAATCCAGCGTAGAAGTGTGCCATGTCAGTTCCTGTTCCTTGCAGTGGGGAGAAGCTCTGCTTACTGCCTTCCTCTTCACAGTCAAAGCAATTGCTCATACATTTCTATCCCCCCCCTTATTTTATTTTTTAAAATTTAATTAAGTGGCTGTGCTAGATGGGGCTGATGGGAGTTATAGTCGAAAACATCTGGAGGGCAGCAGGTTGGCAAAGTCTGTTTTATGTGGAATGGAACCAGCAAGGACCGGTCCAAGAAAGGACTGCTTTCTGCTATACAAACACAACTGTTCCATAAGCACTTCTTTATTTCGTTTAATTCCATTTCATGTTTCATTTGTACGCCGTCTTTCTACATCAGTGCACTCAAGATGGTTTACAATAAGGTTACCAGATTTTTTTCAATGAATCCGGGGACACTTTAATTAATTAATTAATTACTACACGTTTCAGGCGTTGATGCTGCAGTGATGGCGGTGGCAGAGGGGTGGCCGCCGCCTTGACCTCAACCGCCACGTTTCCCCTTCCTCCGAGGCTTCTATCTCTTTTCTCCATGAGCCTGGGCAAACCCTGAGCTGTTGGTTCTTTGGTGGTGGTGGGGAAGCGGTGCATGGTGGGTCAGGCATGGAAGGCGGAGAAGGAGGGCCGAGAGCGGCGGCGAGGCTCGGGCAGCACGATGCTGTTAGGATATTTCCGTTCCACCTTAAAAGGGAGCAGGCTTTGTGAGTCACAGAGTCTGCGTATTTCCTGTTCACAGGAAGTTTATGTTTTCTATTGCTTTCATCTCTCTCTGTGTGTGTCAGAGACACTGAAGCTGGCAGTCATGTTTTCTTTGTTCTGACCAACGCTGAATAAACTTGTAAATAATGCTCTCCTGTGTGCATATTTCGCTGTGCATTATCTGCTGATAGAGCGTGCATGAGCTCTGGAATGTGGCAGGCTATTTCTGGAGCTCGTGTCGCTAATTGCTGATACTGTATCTACAGGAGATCGATGGACGTCCGGAGGCAGCTTGGGGGCCATGATGGACTTTGTCTCCCTGGCAGTATCCCAACAGATGCCTCCCTTCCCATCGGAGCAGCCCCAATCCCATTCCTACTTGCGTACAAGCAGGAGGGGGCAGGGATCCCTCAGCTGGGAAGGGAAGCTTCACACTGCCTTTCGGAGCAGCCCCATCTCAACTCCTACTTTCGTACAAGTAGGAGGGGGTGGGGATCCCTCAGCTGGGAAGGGAGGCTTCCCGTTGCCTTACTGAGAGATCCCTGCCCCGCTCCTGCTTGCATGCAAGCAGGAGTTGGGAGGCTGCTCTGATAGGCAGCATGAAGCCTCCCTTCACAGCTTAGTTGCTGGGGTGAGGGAAGGTGGAGGCAGCCCGGAAGCTGCATCTTAGAGCCTCTGTACCACCATCATATGGGGACTTCCAAGCAGCTCCTGAAAACAGCCAGAGCCAACTGCTCTGGGCTGCTGAGACTGCCACTGTTGCGTTTCCCAGGGACATTAGATGAAATCCAGGGACATTCCAGGCACGGAATTTGTCTGGGGACTTATTCGCAAATCCAGGGACTGTCCCCGGGAAACGGGGACGTCTGGTAACCCTGGTTAACAAGCTATAGTTTTGGGTTTTCAAGGACAGCCCACAAACAAGATAAGCAATAAAGTAAACAAAGAGCAACAGCTGTTTGGAGATGGAATGAAAGGGACAGAAGGTTCAGTACCCTTTTGCAGACATCATGGTAAAATAGATTCCACAAAGGGATTTTGGAAGTGAGAGGCATATATTGATAAGGTAACCTCAACACAGAGAGGCATGTATCTCTGGGCATCTATGAAGGCCACTATGGGACTTGTCCACCTGGGAAGGTAGCCCATCTAGGAGAAGGAAAGCTCTGATCCTAAACCCCAGCTGCCCTGTAGCTATACTCATTCATGAGAAAGACTTCAGGTGTTCCTCAATCCCCACCCATTGCCTTGTGGGACATCTTTGGGAGAAGAAAAGGCCAAGGAGCAAAGCCTACACAAATCTGGAGTGGAGTCCCTAAGACGGTTGGATGGTGCCTTGTACGCCTCCTTCCTGCAACTCCTGCAGCCAAGCTGGTGCCAAATATATTGCTTTGCTTTCCTATGGCCCACTCAGCCAGGCCAAGAGGGAGTTATTGTTGTCTAAGGAATCCAGGGCTCAACATCAAAAAAACGAAGATCATGGCCACTGGTCCCATCACCTCCTGGCAAATAGAAGGGGAAGAAATGGAGGCAGTGAGAGATTTTACTTTATTGGGCTCCATGATCACTGCAGATGGTGACAGCAGCCACGAAATTAAAAGATGCCTGCTTTTTGGGAGAAAAGCGATGACAAACCTAGACAGCATCTTAAAAAGCAGAGACATTACCTTGCCAACAAAGGTCCGTCTAGTTAAAGCTATGGTTTTCCCAGTAGTGATGTATGGAAGTAAGAGCTGGACCATAAAGAAGGCTGATCGCCGAAGAATTGATGCTTTTGAATTATGGTGCTGGAGGAGACTCTTGAGAGTCCCATGGACTGCAAGAAGATCAAACCTATCCATTCTGAAGGAAATCAGCCCTGAATGTTCACTGGAAGGACAGATCCTGAAGCTGAGGCTCCAAGACTTTGGCCACCTCAGGAGAAGAGAAGACTTCCTGGAAAAGACCCTGATGTTGGGAAAGATGGAGGGCACAAGAAGAAGGGGACAACAGAGGACGAGATGGTTGGACAGTGTTCTTGAAGCTAAGAAAATGAGTTTGACCAAACTGTGGGAGGCAGTGGAAGACAGAAGTGCCTGGTGTGCTCTGGTCCATGGGGTCACGAAGAGTCGGACACGATTAAATGACTAAACGACTAAACAACAACAACAAAGGAGTCCAGGACCTCCATACACACTATGCTGCCCAGGCCTGCACCCTGGAGAGGTCACTTCAGTGCTGCAAACACAGGCAGGCAGCAGTTATGAGCTATAGAAGCAGAAGCCATAGAACATCAAAATGTTCTCATTTCATAGCTTCTCTCTGAAGCCTCATAGAACCGGAACTGAGTTCTGGCACCTCTCAGGTGGACGCTCTTGCCATGGTACGAGAACAAGGCAGGCGTTCATGGTGAGTTCCGGCACCTCTTTTTCCAGAAAAATAGCACTGCATAGAAACCTCCTGAGATACATTGTGCCTATCTCACATTCTAAAGGACTAGAAACCTGCTCTTATTTTTAAAAAACCCTGAGATCCTTAGAAAATGCATGTCTCAATTTTATTTTTTTTATTATTTTGCACTTGGGCAGGCTTGCATCTAGGGATTCGCATTTCTGAATGGGTATTCTTTTGACAAAGTAACCCACTGCCTTTCATTTGGCATTATTACAATTGTACAGAGATACGTTCCACTGAATTGTGTGCGCTTGGTGTTTCGTAGGGCCCCCCCCCCAATTCTCCCCCCCCCCTTTGGCTCACTGCCCTTCCCTGTTGCGAGTGGGGAGGTAAAATATTTTCATTACCTTCTCCCCTAGAAGGAAGGAAACTTCAAAGAGGAAGTGGGAAGGAGGTGAGCTTCTTAACCCTAATTTCCCTACCACCAGCGTGGTTTTGGCTGCGCATCATAAAATTATTTTGCACTTGCTCCTTCAAAAAAATGGGGGGGGCATTGGATGGTTGCAGGTTTTTTGCTTGGTGGGTTTGGTGCCGCTTGTGTGTGTTTCTTTAAAAAAAATCATATTGTAAACCTAGTGATTATTTCATGCTGTTTAAACTATATTTATAGCCTTTGATCATACATTAGAAGACCCGAGTAAAGCGCTGATATGCTGGGGATACGGGATGCTTTGAAAGATTCATCTCTCTTTGTTTGAAGATTTATGGCTGGCGTAACATTTCTGCACAGACGTTGCACCTTTGTTTTTGGATGTTTTCAGGGTGTGACATCCATATGACGCGGGGCAGCTCATCCGCAAGCAGGTGGGGTTAGCTGCACCCTTTGTGAATGGAGGTGAAGCATTTACACAGAAGGAGAGCTTGCGGGTCCATGGAGGGCCAGAGCGGTGAAGGAGGTGGAGGATTGTGTCTTGGAACCGGGTTTGGGATTCAGACCCCTGTCCAACCACGAAACCCTTTGGGGGATATTGGGCCAGTTGCTACCTCTCTCGGTTTTCCCAGGGTTGTTGTGAAGATAAAATGGCAGGAGGAGGAACTGTGTAGGCTGACAGCTGATTGGTGGTGCTTGCACAACCCTCTGCAAAGCGCTTTGCAAGAGCTCTTTCAGAAGCTCCTTTCAAAGTGCTATTTTGTGCTGAATCTCTGTTGGAAGAGGGCCGTGTTGGAAGAGGGCTCTGTTGGAAGAGATTGCAGTCAGATAGAATTAGCAAGCATAGGGATAGTTAGTGAATGAAGGGGTAAAGGACCACAGAGTTGTATTGCTAGATAGACTCAGCTAGGTCATGCCCGCTAGAGAGGGAGGAAGTGAAGCCTTTCCTCTTCTCTCCCCACCCTCTCTCTGCATCATGTAACCAGTAAAGGAGGGTGTGTGTGATTTTGCTTCCGAGCTTACAGCACATGTTCGGAATTATATTCTGTACTTTCTACCCAAGAGTATTTTGCCTGTATTATCCTTGCTGCCACATGGAACAATGCCTGACCGAGGCCTTGAATCTGTAAGTAAAGCATTTTAAACTTACTTAGCAGTGTGTTGTCTGCTCCTTGCAAGATGGGTAGAAAGAGGTCAGCTGTCATATGCAGCTGAACAGGATAAAAAGGTTTAACAACCTATATTCCTAACGCTAACTGTTGCTTAACTTTTGTGAATTCAATCTCTGATGATGGGGCTCTCTCCCTGCAGGAAATTGCGCAAATTTCAAATCCAGGCACCCAGCCGCTTTCTTTTGCTGCTCACCCACACACGCCATTTAATTTCCTCCCACAATAAGAGCTATGAAGAGCATTTGGTGAATGTGCAGAGGCAATGGATGGAACCAGAGCAGGGGCGAGGAAACTCAGGTCTGGGACCAAATGCGGCCCTCCAAACCTTTCTAACTAATCTTTAGGACTTTTGCCTCTTCTGTTATACCCCTTAAAGGTAAAGGGACCCCTGACCATTAGGTCCAGTCATGACCGACTCTGGGGTTGCGGCGCTCATCTCGCTTTATTGGCCAAGGGAGCCGGCGTACAGCTTCCGGGTCATGTGGCCAGCATGACTAAGCCGCTTCTGGCGAACCGGAGCAGCGCACGGAAACGCCGTTTACCTTCCCGCCAGAGCGTTACCTATTTATCTACTTGCACTTTGACGTGCTTTCGAACTGCTAGGTTGGCAGGAGCAGGGACTGAGCAACGGGAGCTCACCCCGTCACGGGGATTCGAACCGCCGACCTTCTGATCAGCAAGTCCTAGTCTCTGTGGTTTAACCCACAGCGCCACCTGCGTCCCTGTTATACCCCTTACTTTGCCCTCAAATTGAGTGTTTTTGCCTGGCTGTAATGTCTCCTTGAACTCAATGGTCTCTGCATGCCTGGATGGAGGAAAGAGATGTGTGAGAAACTAGGCTACTGTACAAAAGTAGCATTGTTGCTCTGTTCACTTTTGCTTTTGGCCCTGCCCACCAATGGCATGTGGCCCTCGGAAGGTTGTCCAGGAGGGAATATGGCCCCTGGGCTGGAAAGGGAAGGTTCCCCAACCTCTGAGCAAGAAGGAATGATCTGTACTCCACTTTGGTCCTTGGTTTTGCTGTCTGTGCAGGCCTCGTATGGACCATCGCTTTGGTCGTGCCGGATCACGGCAGGCGCCCTGGCAGGCTCAGTTGTCTTATTCCTCCACGGACAACACCGGAAGCACATGTGGATCAGGGCCCTCATATCTAGGCTAAGATTGATTGCTTTGCTTTGCTCTGCTTTGCTCCAAACACACAAACATCGAAATGGGTAACAAGATTAACAGATTAAGGAGCCACAGAACAGCCTGCTAAGTCTATGCTTTCATCTCAAACATGTGTATTTCCCCCCTTCTCTTACGTTTAAAAACCCTCTTTAAAAACATTGAATAATATATTTTGTAATAGAAATATACTGCCACACTGAATACAAGCTTGCTTGTTTTTAAGAGAGACCAGATATGCATTTTAGGTTCAAAATCTGCACGGAACAAAAAGCATGTAGCAAAATGAATCATGTCCCTTTGTGGGGGAAAGTGGGTGGCCATGATCCATGATCGCTGCAGCGATAGATAGATATTAGAGTCCTGTTTAAACCTTAGAGGGCTGGAGAGGCCCCTTTTGGCTAAGAAAGTTAAACCTCTCAGATTTCTGTCTTCTTTAAGGGAGAAAAGTGTGTCTCTGTCTGTTGGGAAGGGC